CAAGCTGCTGTTTTTAAACTTAAGGAAGCCTCCCCGCTTCCCCTGGCAACCCAGCAAGAAAAATTATTCCAATAGCCCTCAGCCTGTGTACGTTACACTTTCCTATGGCAAGCCAAGTTGTCGTATGTCCCACGGCGCCCTGAAGCTGCATGGCAACAAGGCGAAGTCCCTTGCAAGGAAAACAATCGGAAGTGTGGACGAGCAGCTGCTTTTGCCCCACAGGCTGAGTTAAACGCAGAGAGGGCTCTTCGGCAGCGGCCGAAAGAGGTGCAGATGAAGGGAATGCTGGGGAAAAGGTAAAAGGCGGATCTAGACGGATCCTCATGAATTCATATGATTTTTTCATTCAAATTAAATAAAACCACCATGATACTGTAGACCATGTCTTACTCTGTAGACAGCATCAAAAAAATCATGCATCCACTGTTTCGTGGGGCCGCAGGGGCGCAAAAACATGGTTAAAAAACACGGATCCTCATGGATCCTCATGATTTTTGCACTAGATCAGCCCAAAGTCACCATCAGATCAAACATCATGGCCATGGGCACAGCATGCAACAAAAAAAGCACGGATCCACGGCTTCCTGGCCGTACCGTGGCCCAAAAACGTGGTTTTGAAGCATGGATCCTCATGGATCCTCACACTTTTTGCATTGGGCCACACCTAAATCACCATCAAATCACACATCATAGCCAGGGGCACAGCCTACACCACAAAAATCACGGATCCACAGCTTCCTGGCCATACCGTGGCCCAAAAACGTGGTTTTGAAGCACGGCTTCTCATGGATCCTCACACTTTTTGCATTGGGGAACCCCAAATTCACCCTTTATTCAAATATATTGTACATAACCACAGATCTGACCACAAACATCATGGATCTACTGCTTCGTGGCCCTGGCCAAATGCTACCCTGGAAATAGTGGCCAATTTTTAGGTGGGTATGCTGGGATGAAGGAAACGGAGTCGGCTGAATCTCTGTCCATTAAAGATGGGCGTCCAATGGCTGGGCCAAAATGAGTTCGGTTCGGTTTGCCAGCTCCCAGCTCTTCATGGGGTGCAATAGTCACCTGTAGCCACCATCAGGAGTCCCGGTGTGATCCTGGATGCTTCTGTCTCTATGGAGGCATTGGTCACAAATGTAGCCAAACTGGCATTTTGTAATCTATGTCAGGTTAGGCGATTGGTACCGTACCTGTCCCTTTCCAACCTAGCCATGGTGATCCATGCAGTAGTCACCTGCAGACTAGACTACTTTAACTTGCTGTACACTTGAGCCGGGGAGGGCAGGGTATAAATGTGATAGAGAGTGAGAGAGAGAGATATGCAGGGCAACCCTTGAGACTGCTCCAGAAACTCCAAATGATCTAAAATGCAGATGCATGAGTTCTTACTTGGATTTTGTGGAGAGCCCACATTCATTTGGTTGTTCATCAGCTGGATTGGCTCCAGGTGGAGTATCGAATCAGGTTCAAGGTTTTGGTGCTAATCTTTAAAGCCCTAAACAGTCTGTGACCTTTCTTATCTGTGGGAATTATCTTCCAATACACCCCCCATGAGTGTGACGTTCATCTAACAGCAACCTACTGGTAGTCCCTGGCCCAAAACATATCCAGCTGTCCTCGACCAGAGCCAGAGCCTTTTTGGTGGAACACTTTGTCTAATGAGACCAGGGCTCAGTGCAATCTATCTCAGTTCTCTCACTTGTCATGGTGAGTGGGCTGGCACATTCCTATGACCCTTGTGAGCGAAGCCGTTGGGAATCTCGTACTTCCAGCAGGGTCACCCAAGGCGGTAAGGTCAAAGAAAATTAAATATGCTCAGAGTCCTGTAGTGATTTCATGCTCTTTATTGCACCTTGTAAAACAGTGACTGAATTTCCCCCCAAACCTCAGGCTTTTATATACATTATTTACACAATGAGTCCCGTCTGATTGGCTGATTCTGCTTCCCTCCTGGAGCCTGATTGGTCTTTTCCTGCAAGCCAATCAGTTCTTGCGTTCTAGGATCCTACTTGCCTATTGTTCTAGGATCCAAGCTTAGTACATAACAGGGAAGGAGCTAGACAAAGAATGATCCAAGAAGTCCTCAATGGCAGAACAGGCGGATGATAACAAGCGGTTGTGTTACAACGGCTGTAAAGGCGGATGAAGGCTGCAGCAGATAGGATCCACCAGTTTGTCGTGACTACTCATGCAATCAGAACAGAGCCCTACTGCGAAGACTGTGCGTTGGTCAGCGTGCACTGACCTACACACATACAACAAATTCACGCACACGCATCTTCCAAAAACCCAACCCAACCCCCCACCCACCCTTCCCCCCATGGTGATCACTAAATGGCTACGGAGGCAGGAATGTGAAATCTGGAAGCCCCTAGTCATGAACCGACACATGGGCGGTCAGTCCTTGTGACTCAAGGAATGAGGCAGTTGAGCAGCTCAGCAGCTGTATCCATGACTGAGCAGCCTGTTTTAGGATCCACTCTGCTCACCCCGAAAAGGGGAAGGGGCTGGAAACAGTGCCCTAAACATAGTCTGCCTCCCTTTTCCCCTGACTGGATTACCGCGCCCAGTGGGGTCACCACCCAGGGGTCGTAAAAGACAATTGAATTTTGGAACATGGAATATATGGACTTTGTCAGATAACACAGACAGTGAACGTCCTGAACGCAGAACTGCCATCATTGCAAGAGAGCTGCGATGTTTTAACATCGATATTGCAGCGCTTCAAGACTCTCGAAGAGCAGGCGAGGGACAACTGAAGGAAGAAAAAGGAGGCTACACATTCTTCAAGAAAGGTCTATCTGAACAAGAACATTGAATACATGGGGTAGGCTTCGCTATGAAAAACAAACTTGTGAAGCTCCTGTCAGAAGTCCCTACTGGCATTAATGAGCGACTCTCAACCCTTCGAATAAAGCTCACAAAAAACCAACAGACTACTATTATAAGCACTTATGCACCAACACTGGATGCCGATGAAGACATTAAAGAAAATTTTCACACTCAGCTGGATACCATCTGTAATAAATATAGGGGTTGCTCGTGCATAAATTGCTGCCACTCCTGGCTAGCTTGCCTTGTTAAACCTTTTCTGTCTGGACAGCCCTTCACTTCGTGGCTGTTTCAGTCGCTAGCAGAATCCGTCAGTGGGCGTTTCTTAAACCTTTTCCAGCATAAAAGCTGTTTGACCCCAAGTCTCCTCCTACTCTCCCTGCGCGGACGTCTTCTGCGAAGGGAGGGTGTGGGTAGTGGAGGACCCGTGCTCTCCCCGCTGGTCTCCGGCGAGGAGTCCTGGAGCCCCCTCGCCGATTCTCCCTTTATCCCTGGTGTTACGCTGATTTCCTTCCCCAGCTGATGAGCTGCCTCTTTCCCTGCTGGGCCCTTCTCCAGCATCGCTTGGGAGCCTTGCCTCTGCCTCTGGCTCCGATGTCAGTTCCCTGACACCATCCTATCAGAGACACCTAAGGAAGATAAAATTATCCTCCTGGGTGATTTTAATGCAAGAGTTGGGCGAGATTTCGATCTGTGGCCTGGGACAAGTGGGAAAGAAGGAGTTGGCAACAGCAACCAGAATGGAATCTTACTTTTGACTATATGTGCAGCGCACAACCTTGTTATTACCAACACACTCTTTTGACAGAAAAATAAATTTAAAACTTCATGGAGGCATCCTCAGTCAAACCACTGGCACCTCTTAGACTATGTTATTGTCCGTGCTAAAGATCAACGTGATGTGTTCCTTACCAGAGCTATGACGAGTGCCAACGACTGCTGGACAGATCACCAACTAATACGCGCCACGATGGCTATCAAGATTATACCTCAAAGCAGGCTTCAGGGAAGGAAACCAAGGTGCAAAATGAACACTCAAGCCCTTCAAGTTCCCATTGAGCGGGATTGCTTCTAAACGACTCTTAAGGACCATCTGCATCCAGAATTCCCTGATAACATCGAAAAACACTGGACCAAGCTAAAAACATCCATTATTGCAGTCTGTGAACAAACTATTGGATACCAAACCAAGAAACACCAGGACTGGTTTGATGAGAATGACAGTGAGATTGAATGCATGATTGACAAGAAAAGGAAGGCATTTCAGATCTGGCAAAGAGATAGAAACTGTGCCACTAAGAAAAAAAACCTATGCCAATGCTAAGAACCAGAGAACTAAAAAACACCTGGTGGATAAAAAAAAAGCTCAAGAGATCCAGCACTTAGCCGACACTCATGATGCACAGAGTTTCTTTAAAGCCACAAAGACCATCTATGGACCAATAAATCATGGCATATGCCCCCTACACTCAGCAGATGGTACCACACTTCTAAAAGATAAAGAAGCTATTGCACTGTGCTGTAAAGGACACTACCAACATCTCCTTAACCACAACTCCCCCATAGCTGCTGAGGTCCTCTCACAAATCCCGCAAAAACAAATTAGAGATGAGCTTGATGTATCTCCAAATCTTGTGTACAGCTATTAACCAAGTGAAAAACAACAAAGCCAGTGGACCTGATGGGATACCTGCTGAAATCTTCAAAGTGGGTGGAATTGAACTTACACAACAACTTCACAAGCTCATCAAAAAAATCTGGGAGAGAGAAGCGATCCCAGCAGACTTCAGGGATGCCAAAATTATCAATCTCTTTTTAAAAAGGTGACAGAACTGATTGCGGAAACTATCGAGGCATCTCTCTGTTAGCTGTGGCCGGCAAAATTCTTGCAAGGATCTTAGCAAACCGTCTCTTAACATTATCCGAGGTGACCCTTCCTGAATCCCAAAATCGTTTTCAGCCTTCTAGGGGGACAGTGGACATGATTTTCACAGCCCAACAACTTCAGGAAAAATGCAGAGAGCAAAACTAACCTTGGTACTCACACCATGCCGCCAGTTCTAGTGGTGCATCCAGCACCTCAGGGGGCCCCCTTGCTTGCTTATGAGAAGAACTAGCTCTGCATTCCATACAAAATGTTGTTGTGTGGCTATTCCCTCCCCCTCCACAGGTGGAATAAATAAAGACAACGGACACAGCGTTTTAGGTTAATGGGCGAAAATGGCCACAACTTTATTGATTACAGGAAATGAAGGGTATTGGCTTTAGGCATTGGCCCCTAACCGACTATCCGGTCTGACCGGGAAGGGTTAAACACCAACAGGGGGAGCCACCCGAGATGCGTATCCCTAGGCGCTCCCCGAGGGGTTACCGCTCGGGGGCGCGCTTTAGGCCCTAGCCTCCGTAGGTTTCGGACGAGGCGTCGCCCCTCGGAGTCCTTTAACGAACTACCCTTCAAGCATTGGGGGAGGTGATGGCGTTCCTCCCCCCCAACCTCATCTGCATGACAATACCCCGGCCAATGCCTACCGCCAAAACCGAGGGAGTTGTGACGATTTGCTACGAGGTAGGCGAAAAAACCAAGTGGCTCACAAAACCAGCCAATTAGCCAAATGGAAAAACTCCTACCAGGCCCCTTGCGGCGACCAGCCGAAGCCCATAGCAATGTCAGTGGCAAAACCTAAAGGGCGGGTGGGTGGGAAACCGCGTCGTCTCCAGGGTGAAAAGGGGCAAGCCAGGGCTTCCCCGACCTTAAGTGGCCTTTCTAAGGCCCGCCCCTGCCGCCAGCCAATTGGCTGGCGCCACAGGGGATGCTAATTGGGGAATCTCTGCCTCCCGCGAGGCTGGCGCCAGCCTCGGGAGAGCGAGAGTGGGCGGGGTCGTGATCCCACAACCCCCCCTCCTCCTGACGATCGGAAGGGGCATTGTGTGGCTAGCCCTCCCCCCCCACAGGTGGAATAAATAAAGACAACGGACACAGCGTTTTAGGTTAATGGGCGAAAATGGCCACAACTTTATTGATTACAGGAAATGAAGGGTATTGGCTTTAGGCATTGGCCCCTAACCGACTATCCGGTCTGACCGGGAAGGGTTAAACACCAACAGGGGGAGCCACCCGAGATGCGTATCCCTAGGCGCTCCCCGAGGGGTTACCGCTCGGGGGCGCGCTTTAGGCCCTAGCCTCCGTAGGTTTCGGACGAGGCGTCGCCCCTCGGAGTCCTTTAACGAACTACCCTTCAAGCATTGGGGGAGGTGATGGCGTTCCTCCCCCCCAACCTCATCTGCATGACAATACCCCGGCCAATGCCTACCGCCACCGAGCCGCAAGCCGGCTCGCCGCCAATACCCTCAGACCTGTAACCAATCCCTAACACCTTGAAAAATATCAGCCAACCAAATATCATTTCCCGCATCAGATAGATGCACGCCATCCCAGCGATAGAGCATTTCCTTGTCAAACCGTATGCGTGGGTGCTGAATGACCCGACCACCCCATGCGGCCACTCTACGTGCCACCATGCGCTCCACAATCCTTCTAGCTTTATTCACAGCCACGGGTTTCTCTGCATCCCGCCAACATCGCCTTTCCAGCAAAGATGACCAAATTATTGTAATGTTTTCATGGGATGCCCTCAACAATTCCAAGTCGTTGATGATGTTCCACATCAAGTTCACCCCTTTCCTATACGCCAAATCGTTCTCGCCCAGCTGGATGACCAAGGCACTGGGTGGGCCCTCGGCAGCGATTTTTGTGGATACAACTGGGAAAAACTCTTCCCAACGCATACCCCTCCTAGAGATCCACGATAGTTTGACCCAGCTGGGTAGCCGTAGCTCTTCAACCCAGCCCCTTTGTTCGGCGCGCCGCTTTGCCCAATATACGATGCTGTGGCCAAGGATCCACAGTCGAACCACACCAGTACCTGAAAAGAGAGAATCGGAGAACCGGATCAGGAGGAGTGCCCGGGGGGAAAGCTGAGGGGAATTTAGAAGGTCTACCGAATATAACCCTGGAATGCGTTGGATTTCCAGCGCCCCATGTCCATAATTCTTTCAGCCGGTAAGCCCATATGGGCGGCGGTGGTCGCCGCCCCAATGCGAAAGGAGTGCGCGGCGTACTCCTCTTGGGGAAGCCCGATGGCGGCAATTGCTTTGCGCATGACCCTCGTGAACTGCTGCTTTGAGAGGGAGGAACCGTCGGAATGCAAGAAAAAGGGGCCACTAGGTTCTGGTCTTACACACAGGTATTTTCTAGCATCCTTTACAGGGCAAGGGCCCGCCTTTTGAGTCGCCTGGAGGCGAACCAAGGCTCCCTTGCCAAGCTGATCAGTCTTCGAACTACGGATTCTTAACATTACATGCGCCCTGTCTACAGTTACGTCCTCAAGTAGTAGCCCCCTGGACGCTGCGCGGTCCTCACAAACCACTTCGCCTATGCGTAGGGCGCCAAAAAATGCGAAAGAAAACGCTGCTGAAAATAACCTGGCTTCATATCTTGACCAACACAGGGCCCTCAGCTTCCTACGGATTTGGGTGAGTATATCTAAAGTTATTGGCCTTCTCCTGTCCCGGCCGTGAGGCCTGGACCTGCGCCAGCCCTCAAGCATCTTACGCACAACGAAATGCGAACAGGGATCCACAGAAAATAAAGTTTTAGAAAAGAAGGATATAGCTGCTGAATGAATATTGAGGGTTTTGGGGGCCCGGCCAAGATCTCTAAGGTGGACCATGTACTCTATGACTTCAGACTTGGACGGTGGCCTGCCTGGCTTGGACCGCCCCTTTTTGATGCGGAAGGATGTGAAGTCTAGCCACGCCTTATTATACGATCTCAGGGTAGAAGGCGCTAGCGCAGACAATACTCCCTTTATTGCTTCTCGTTGCCAATATTCCAGAGGTGCTCCGGGAATGGTTGCGGCTGCTGCTGCGCATCCGGCGCCAATGAGCGAAAGCGTTCCATCTGGAAACGAGATAGAGCATCCGCGATGTTATTATCAATACCAGGGACGAACTTGGCTGAAGCGTGAAGGTTCAATCGCAGGCAGGAGAGGACGAAGTACCGTAAAAGGGACGCTACTCTGGGTGAGCGTGACGATTGTTTATTCAAAACTGACACGACCGCTAGATTGTCCGTCCAAAAACAGACCCTATGGTTCTTGAACTGGTCTTCCCATAAGTGAATTGCAACCACGATGGGAAAGAATTCTAAGAATGTCAAGTCACGTAGTATCGGTTTACCTTGCCAGGAGGGAGGCCAGTGCTGGGCACACCACTGGCCCCTGAAGTAGACCCCAAAACCTAAGGACCCGGCCGCATCCGAATGTACCTGGAAATCAGACTGCAGCGCCAAACTATCCTGCCAAAGTGATATGCCATTGAAACCGTCCAGAAATTGCAACCAAACCAGGAGGTCCGCCTTCACTGCCTTGGGAATGCGTACCCTATGATGGGGTGACCGTAAGCCCGTGGACAGCTTTGCCAGGCGGCCGCAGAAAGGGCGACCGGGGGAAATTACACGGCAGGCAAAGTTGAGGTGCCCCAAGAGGGATTGAATTTGTCTCAAGGTGACCTTCTTTAGGGGCAGCATTTGGCCGATAAGCTCTCTTAAGGCAACCACTTTTTCAGCCGGTAAGCGCGAGGTTTGAGCTACGGTGTCAAGTTCAATGCCCAGGTAGGTCATGGTAGTGACCGGACCCTCGGTCTTCTCACCTGCCAGGGGGACTCCCAGTTCCCTGGCTAAGGACTCGAAGGCTAGGAGGAGGGACCTACACTCCCCAGCGTCCCTTGCCACCAAAATAAAATCATCGAGATAATGACCCACCCCTAGAGCACCGGTTCTAAACTTTAGGGCCCATTCCAGGAATGTGCTGAAGGTCTCGAACGCAGCACAGGCAATAGAACAACCCATGGGCATAGCTTTGTCAATGAAGTAAGCTCCCTGGAATTTGAAACCCAACCAGCGGTAGTCTTCCTGGTGAACCGGGAGTAGGCGAAATGCTGACTCGATGTCACATTTTGCCAAAAAGGCGCCCCTGCCAAAGCTCCGCACCAACCGCACAGCTTGATCGAATGAAGAATACTTCACCGTGCACATCTCTTGGGGAATGGCGTCGTTAACCGATGTTCCTTTGGGATAGGACAGGTTGTGTATCATTCTAAATTCACCGGGGGCCTTCTTTGGGACAATACCAAGCGGGGAGATATGAAGCCCCTCGATAGGCGGAGTTGCGAATGGACCGGCTACCCTGCCGGCTGTAATCTCCTTCTGTATCTTTTTAAGCGCGATGTCGGGCCTTTCTAAGACTGATTTCTGGTTAGGGGGGGAACTGGAATTGGGTGTAAAAGCAACCGGAATTCTAAAACCTTCAGAAAACCCTTCCTCCAGTAGGTGAGCTGCACGTCTATTTGGATAGAACTTCAAGAGTGCTCTCAATGGCTCCAATTTTATCGGAGAGCACGCGAGGCCTAGGGAGATGTTAGTAACGAGCCCCAGCTGGCCCTTGGGCGGGGGCTGCAGGTCCGGCGGAGCCACCCCTGTTTCCCGGGAGAGGTGACCCCTGCCCCCCCGAAAGGGCTGCTGCCTCCCTTTGAAGCAGTTGACTGCAGGGTGGCTGCCTAAGCACCTATCGCATTCGTGCAGGTACTTACAGGTAACGCGCTGACAGATACCCTTGTTGAAGTCCCAGCACTGCCTACGGCGTTGGGTCTCCACCTTACCAGCTTTTGGCTGATGAGCGGTTTTCTTCTCGATATTGGGCCCCACATGTTCGAACCAGCAATTGTTGTCCTTTTGGTCCCAGCGCGTTGAAGACAGCAGCGAGGCATTCCTCCGAAAGTCTTCATCATACGCCAAAGCAGCTTCATCTCCTGCCTGCTCCCGTGCCCTCCTGACGTGTGCCAGGTAGGACACGAGGTGCGCGCCCCTCTTAGGATAGCAACTTGACACCACAGCCATAAACACCTGATAGCCATTAAGCCAATTCTCAAACGTTCGCTCGACCCGGGTACCCTGTACCTCCTTTTCCCATAGTACTTAATTTTTCCCCTTTTCCCTTGACCTGAGCTGGGGGCAGCAAGGAAAACATATCTACGTAATTGCCATTCAATATCTTGTTCCTCTTCCTCTTAGAGAGGTGGTTCCCCAGAATAAAGTCAGTGGCAGCGTTGGTTGAGACTTTAACGTCTGGGACCAGAGCCCCATCCTTCCAATCAAGCGTGCCATTAAATGCCTTCCTGTGTGAGTTGGCCCTCCGTTCATGCACCCACTGGGGGGCTCCAACGTCCTCCCCCTCCCCCCAATATGTCTCCATTGGAGTGTCACTATCCCCATCTGATGAAGAGGTACCTGTTTCCTCCTCAGAGTCCGAAGTGTCCCTCTTCTTGCTTTTCTTCGACCGGTGCTTCTTCTTCGCCTTCCGCTTTCCGCCCCGTGGTGCGTCGTCACGGGGGGCCGGGTCGCTGGCAGCGGCCACCTGCTGAGGGGGCAGCTCCTCCTCAGAAGATGACTCCTCCGAGGTGCTTGGTTGTCTAGGGTTATCCTGGAAAACACTGGGAACATCAATCACCTCCTGGCGCGGGGCTGATGTAGAGGCCACCGCCGGCCTGGCCTTTTGTGCGCTCGACCTAGGTTTTTTAGCTGGTGCCTTGCCTTTCAATGGACCTGACTTAGGTTTTTGAGTTTTAGCAGCTTGTAAGCGCGTCCGTGGCCTGCTGGGGGCCTGCTCAACCATGTTAGCTGCACTAGTGGAGGGACCATCCTGACCCTGCTGGCTGGGGGGGGTGTCTGGTATGCAATCTTGTGACACCTCAACGATGTTCGGTGAGGGAGTGATAGGTGCTCTGCACTGCGCGTAGAATGATTGCAGCGCGGAAAAGAGCTGGGCCACGACCTGCGGGTTACATGGGCCTGTTGGCATTAGGGCATTGCCACGCTGAGATTGTTGGGGGTTGCTGTTGCTCTCCATGACCAAGCTGAAAGCAGAGCCTCAGGGGGGTGGGCGCAAGACAAGTGTCTAATATATATATATATATATATATATATATTAATTATTATTATTATTTTTTATTTATTTATTTTTTATTTATTTATTTATTTATTTATTTATTTATTTTTATTTATTTATTTATTTATTTTAAACTTTATTTATTTATTTATTTATTTATGTATTATTTGTTTATTTATTTGCTTATATTCGTTTGTTTATTTATATATTTATTTATATCTATATGTATATGTGATTGCTTATTATGCTAAGTTGTAGCCCAGTAAACCAAAGGATAACACAGTAAATTATAAACTGCAGTGAAATAAACCAGAAAAACCTGCTCGCCACACCTAAAATGGCCGCCGGGGCCCTCTCGCCACAACTAAAATGGCCGCTGGAGCCTCTCGCCACACCTAAAATGGCCGCCGGGACTTTTCGCCACACCTAAGATGGCCGCCGGAGCCTCTCGCTACACCTAAAATGGCCGCCGGAGCCTCTCGCCACACCTAAAATGGCCGCCGCGGCTTCTCGCCACACCTAAAATGGCCGCCGGGGCCTCTCGCCACACCTAAAATGGCCGCCCGGACTTCTCGCCACACCTAAAATGGCCGCCGCTCAGCAAGCCACGTGGCTTTAAAATGGCGCCGGTCGCCTAGCAACGTGGCAACACAGGCTCCCACGTGTACTGCCTGTATTAAAAGCCAGGTGAGGGTAAACACAGAGGAAAAAATGCCCAGCAAAAACCCTCGCAGCAGCAGATAGTACAAAAGTAACCCGTTTAAATTAAATTGCAAAATACCCAACGAAGCCCCCGCGGCAGCAGGAAACACACAAGTAACCCGTTTATAATAAATTGCAAAACACTCAGCAAAGCCCCCGCAGCAGCAGACAATCTTTTTTTTTTTTTTTTTTAATACAAAATATATTCCGCCTTTTTCTAATAATCTAATATTGAACTTTTTAACACCATGTCTCCCATCCAATTTGAAACCACCTCAGACCCTGCTTAGCTTTGCAAATGTGCCAGCAGTTTTATTGCTGCACCACCAGGGGGACTACAGGAGAACCAGCTAAATTAACAAGCCATAAAGTAAGATACGACCTGCTGGAAGATACGAAGACTCCGCTTCAAGGAAACACAGTAAAGCCACGTGGGGAGGGTTGTAGCACTGAAAGGGAGGCTGCAGGGAGGCTGCAGGGCTCGATCAGCTGGCAGTCGGGGGCGTCGCTGCTAGCTCTCCTGCTGCATGGGGTTTTTTCCAGCGATGAAGGAGCCGGTGGTGAGTCACGCTGCTGAAGCAACCTAAGAGAATAAGCCCCCCGAGGAACCTGAGCGATTTCTGCCCAATAGCCTTGCTAAGCGCAGGAGGAAACTTCTCCTGTGGTGATTTCAGCTCGAGTAAAGGCTCCAGGTTCCACAAGGCTCCGAGGATTCCAGCGAGCGGAAGGATCACCTAAACCAAACCGCGTCGTCTCCAGGGTGAAAAGGGGCAAGCCAGGGCTTCCCCGACCTTAAGTGGCCTTTCTAAGGCCCGCCCCTGCTGCCAGCCAATTGGCTGGCGCCACAGGGGATGCTAATTGGGGGAATCTCTGCCTCCCGCGAGGCTGGCGCCAGCCTCGGGAGAGCGAGAGTGGGCGGGGTCGTGATCCCACAACCCCCCCTCCTCCTGACGATCGGAAGGGGCATTGTGCCTGCTGTTTGCTACAGAGACGGAAGATTTCTTCCCCCAGGTTTTGGCCCTGCTCAAGAACCAGTTAAGCACTTCCATGCCCCATTCATTTAAACTGCTCAATAAACTTGGCCTTTCCATGAATCCCATTGAAATCTATAACATTATTCAGTTGTGTCTCAGCATATTTATGGGAAATGTCACTATTTCAAAGAGTTTGGAAGAAGAGTTTGGACTTGATATTCTGCCTTTCACTCCCTTTAAGGAGTCTCAAAGCAGCTAACAATCTCCTTTCCCTTCCTTCCCCACAACAGACACCCTGTGAGGAGCTGAATGTGGAGGAGCGGGGAAGCGAACCCAGCTCACCAGATTACGAGTCCACCGCTCTTAACCACTACACCACACTGGCTCAAAGACTAATAGATGGCAGCTATACATAACCTTTAGCTTAAAAAATAGCAACAATATCTATCTAATGGAACAGTGCAGCGTACTAGCTAGTGTCATAGAATCATAAAATCATAGAGCTGGAAGAGACCGCAAGGGCCATCTAGTCCAACCCCCTGCCATGCTGGAAGACACAAGCAAAGCACTCCTGACAGATGGCCAGCCAGCCTCCACTTAAAAATCTCCAAAGAAGGAGACTCCACTACTCTCCGAGGTGGCATATTCTACTGTCCAACAGCCCTTAATGTCAGAAATTTCTTCTTAATGTTTAGGTGGAATCTCTTTTCCCATAGTTTGAATCCATTATTCTGCATCCTAGTCTTTAGAACAGCAGAAAACAAGCTTGCTCCCTCTTCAACATGACATCCCTTCAAATATTTAAACATGGCTATCATGTCACTCCTTAATCTTCTCTTCTCTAGACTAAACAAATCCAGCTCCCTAAGTCTCTCCTCATAGGGCTTGGATTCCAGACCTTTTACATTTTGGTCACCCTCCTCTGGACATGCTCCAGCTTGACAATATCCTTCTTCAACTGTGGTGCCCAGAACTGGACACAGTATTTCAGGGGTGGTCTGACCAACCAGAATAGAGTGGTAGCATTCCTTCGTTTGATCTAGACACTATACTCCTATTGATGCAGCCCAGAATCGCATTGGCGTTCTTAGCTGCCACATCACACTGTTGACTCATGTTCAGCTTGTGGTCGACTAAGACTCCCAGATCCTTTTCACTGGTACTGTTATCAAGCCAAGTGTCCCCCACCTGTGCATTTCATTTTTTCTACCCAGGTGTAGTACCTTACATTTCGCCCTATTGAACTCTATTTTGTTGGTTTTGGCCCAGCTTTCTAGGCTATTCAGGTCATTTTGAATTCTGACCCTGTCCTCTGGGGTATTAGCAACCCCTCCCAGTTTGGTGTCATTTGCAAATTTGATTAGCATGCCCTCTATTCCATCATCCAAATCATTTATAAAAATATTGAATAGCACCAGGCCCAGGACAAAACCTTGTGGAACCCCAATAGTCATTTTTCCCAGGATGAAGATGAGCCACTGATGAGCACTCTTTGGGTTCAGCCCATCAACCAATTACAAATCCACCTAACAGTAGCTTTGTCTAGCCCACATTTTACTAGCTTTTTTGCAATAATATCATGGGGGACCTTTTCAAAGGTCTTACTGATGTCAAGGTAAGCTGGTACAGTAAAAATTACTGATCACTTTGGATCAGCAGTCTCAACCTAACCTGCTATGTGGGGAGAGCCACATGTTCCTTTGGAAGGCAAGTGGAATACAGTGTGATATACTGACAGCTGTTTTAAAATATGTAACTGTAACTTAAAATCCAGTATCAGAAAAAAATAAAAATAGATGGTCCCTGTGTGGCTAGTCAAGTCTGCATGATGGGGCCACCTCCAGTGACCATGTGGCTTGATATAAGAGGGTTCTAAAATCAGTACTGAAAGTAGACTGATTGAGAATGACACACGCATAGCTTTTGCTCTTCCATTAACAGGGTGAGAGGAAGCAAATTCTTGCCTCCCTTTGGGCTTAGCAATATTTCCTACAGCATTCTTGTTGAAGGGCATTGGAGAGTTAGGTGAGGGTCACTTTTCTGTTTTTCAATCAAGCCCCCAGACAAGAATGCTACAGCATCAGCCCCAAACACTCGTAACAAAAAATACTCAATGGAGTTAGGGCTGAGGGTAGGGGAAGTACAATCATGATCTTTCCGGTCCTCTACAAGCTGACCCTTTTGGTCATTTTGGTCACCGAGCCAAATATCTGTTCTCAAGTTTAAAGAGTCTAAACAAGTAAAGAACAAGCTTGCCCTTTACATGCAAAAGCCCTGAAATTCAGCCCATTGGGCAACTGATCATGGGCCTGGGAGGAGGGAGGTAAGGACTAGCACCTTCTCTGCCCTCCACCTTCAACAGCTACACCTGAAAGTTTCATGATGGTGTTCGATTTGAGAAGCTGAATGTTTATAAAGGCACTTAGCCAATTTCTGCCACGGAAATTCTGAACAGAAACACTGTGCAGGTTCAGCCCCCAAAAGAAACTGCTCTATGGTCTCTGTGTTGGGAAATGGGAACAGATCTTGCTCATCACCAACCTTCCCTCTGCAAATCAGTATCACTAGAATCATAGAATAGAATCATAGAATCATGGAGTTGGAAGAGACCACAAGGGCCATCGAGTCCAACCCCCTGCCAAGCAGGAAACACCATCAGAGCACTCCTGACATATGGTTGTCAAGCCTCTGCTTAAAGACCTCCAAAGAAGGAGACTCCACCACACTCCTTGGCAGCAAATTCCACTGTCGAACAGCTCTTACTGTCAGGAAGTTCTCCCTAATGTTTAGGTGGAATCTTCTTTCTTGTAGTTTGGATCCATTGCTCCGTGTCCGCTTCTCTGGAGCAGCAGAAAACAACCTTTCTCCCTCCTCTATGTGACATCCTTTTATATATTTGAACATGGCTATCATATCACCCCTTAACCTCCTCTTCTCCAGGCTAAACATGCCCAGCTCCCTTAGCCGTTCCTCATAAGGCATCGTTTCCAGGCCTTTGACCATTTTGGTTGCCCTCCTCTGGACACGTTCCAGTTTGTCAGTGTCCTTCTTGAACTGTGGTGCCCACAACTGGACACAGTACTCCAGGTGAGGTCTGACCAGAGCAGAATACAGTGGCACTATTACTTCCCTTGATCTAGATGCTATACTCCTATTGATGCAGCCCAGAATTGCATTGGCTTTTTTAGCTGCCGCGTCACACTGTTGGCTCATGTCAAGTTTGTGGTCAACCAAGACTCTTGGTTCCTTTTCACATGTACTGCTCTCAAGCCAGGTGTCACCCATCTTGTATTTGTGCCTCTCATTTTTTTTTGCCCAAGTGCAATACTTTACATTTCTCCCTGTTAAAATTCATCTTGTTTGTTTTGGCCCAGTTCTCTAATCTGTCAAGGTCGTTTTGAAGTGTGATCCTGTCCTCTGGGGTGTTAGCCACCCTCCCAGTTTGGTGTCATCTGCAAATTTGATCAGGATGCCCTTGAGTCCATCATCCAAGTCGTTGATAAAGATGTTGAATAAGACCGGGCCCAAGACAGAACCCTGTGGCACCCCACTAGTCACTCTTCTCCAGGATGAAGAGGAACCATTGATGAGCACCCTTTGGGTTCGGTCAGTCAGCCAGTTACAAATCCACTGAGTGGTAGCATAGTCAAGACCGCATTTTACCAGCTTCTTTACAAGAATATCATGGGGCACCTTGTCAAATGCCTTGCTGAAATCAAGGTAGGCTACATCCACTGCGTTCCCTTCATCTACCAGGCTTGTAATTCTGTCAAAAAACGAGATCAGGTTAGTCTGACATGACTTTTTTTCAGAAATCCATGCTGACTATTGGTGATCACAGCATTCCTTTCTAGGTGCTCACAGACTGTTTGCTTAATGATCTGCTCCACAATCTTCCCTGGTATTGATGTCAGACTGACTGGGCGGTAATTATTTGGGTCCTCTCTTTTCCCCTTTTTGAAAATAGGGACAGCATTTGCCCTCCTCCAGTCTGCCGGGACTTCGCCTGTTCTCCAGGAATTCTCAAAGATGACTGCCAGTGGTTCTGAGATCACATCTGCCGGTTCTTTTAATACTCTTGGATGCAGTTCATCTGGCCCTGGAGACTTGAATACATCTAAACTAGCCAAGTATTCTTGTACTATCTCCTTAGTTATTCTGGGCTGTGTTTCCTTTGCTGAATCATTTGCTTCAAATTCTTCAGGTCGGGCATTGTTTTCTTTATCGGGAAGACTGAGGCAAAGAAGGCATTGAGGAGTTCAGCCCTTTCTGTGTCCCCTGTTTGCATTTCACCATCTTCTCCTCTGAGTGACCCCACTGTTTCTTTGTTCTTCCTTTTGCTACGAACATACCCATAAAAGCCTTTTTTGTTGCTTTTAACCTCTCTAGCAAGCCTGAGTTCATTCTGTGCTTTAGCTTTTCTGACTTTGTGTCTACACGTGCTGGCTATTTGTTTGAATTCCTCTTTGGTGGTTTCCCCCCTTTTCCATTTTTTGTACACATCCTTTTTAATCTCAACTCAGTTAAAAGTTCTTTAGATAGCCACCCTGGCTTCTTTAGGCACCTTCCATGTTTCCGTCTCATTGGTATTGCCTGACGTTGTGCTTTTACTATCTCCCTCTTAACAAACTCCCAGCCATCATGAACTCCCTTTCCTTTTAGTATTACTGTCCATGGGATCTCACCCAGCACTTCCCTAAGTTTTATGAAGTCGGCTTTCTTAAAGTCAAGAAATTGAGTCCTAGTATGCTTGGCTGCTCCTTTCCGCTGTATAGTAAACTTCAGAAGAGCATGATCACTCGCGCCTAATGATCCTTCCACTTCTACCCCACTAACCAGGTCATCAACATTGGTTAGGACCAGATCTAAAATGGCTGTTCCTCTTGTTGCTTCTCCCACTTTCTGGACAATGAAGTTGTCTGCAAGGCCAGTGAGGAATCTGTTTGACCTTATGCTCTTGGCTGAGTTTGACATCCAACAAATATCCGGGTAA